TCTTCTAGTTCCTTGTTAAATGTTTCTTGTGTTTTCTCCATTCTATTTCCAAGATTTTGGATCATCTTTACTATCATTGCTCTGAATTATTTTTCAGGCAGACTGCCTATTTCCTCTTCATTTGTTAGGTCCTTTGGGTTTTTGCCTTGCTCCTTCATCTGCTGTGTGTTTCTCTGTCTTCTCATTAGATCTTAGCTAAGAGCTGGGTCTTAGCATTGAAACAGAGGTATCTGGGAGAGCTCTCAATGATTGATATTATGTGGGGCCAGGAGGTCTCTGCTGGTCCAGTGTCCTGAACTTGGCTCTCCTACCTCACAGGCTCAGGCCTGACACCTGGCTGGACCACCAAGACCCTGTCAGCCACATGGCTCAGAAGAAAAGGGAGAAAAGAAAGAAAGAAAGAAAAAATAATTAAAATTAAAAAATTTAAGTTATTAAAATAGAAAAAGTATTTAAAAAAAAAGAGCAACCAAACCAATAAAGAAATCCACCAATGATAATGAGCACTAAAAAGTAAACTAAGAAAACTATATAAATCAAAACTAGTCACTCACATACAGCAAACCCCAAGTCTACAGTTGGTCCCAAAGTCCACCGCCTCAATTTTGGGATGATTCATTGTCTATTCAGGTATTCAACACATTCAGGGTACATCTATCTAGTTGATTGCGGAAATTTAATCTGCTGCTCCTGAGGCTGCACGGCGAAATTTCCTCTCTTTTTTTTTCACACAGCTCTTGGGTTTCAGCTTTGGATTTGGCCCCACCTCTGCATGTAGAGGTCGCCCTCTGGCGTCTGTTCTTTGCCCAGACAGGAGGGGTCTAAAGGAGTGGCTTATTAGGGGGCTGTGGCTCACTTAGACCACGGGGAGAGAGGGGTACAGCATGCGGGGCAATCCTGCGGTGGTAGAGGCCGGCGTGATGTTGCAACAGCCTGAGGCATGCCATGTATTCTCCTGGGGAAGTTGTCCCTGGATCACAGGACCCTGGCAGTGGTGGGCTTCACAGGCTCCTGTGAGGGGAAGTGTGTATAGTGACCTGAGCTTGCACACAGGGTTCTTGGTGGCTGCATCAGCAGCGTTAGCGTTTCATGCCCATCTCTAGTGTCTGCACTGATAGCTGCAGCTCGTGCCCATCTCTGGAACTCGTTTAGGCAGTGCTCTGAATCGCCTCTCATCATGCACCCCAAAACAATGGTGTCTTGACTCTTAGGTAGTTCCAGACTTTTTCCCAGACTCTCTCCCGCCTAGCTGTGGCGCACTAGCCCCCTTCAGGCTGTGTTCACACAGCCAACCCCAGTCCTCTCCCTGGGATCTGACCTCTGAAGCCCAAGCCTCAGGTCCCAGTCCTTACCTGCTCCTGCAGGTAAGCAGACAAGCCTTTTAGGCTATTGAGTTCTGGTTGGCACCAATCCTGTGCGGGAATCTCTCCACTTTGCCCTCTGCACCCCTGTTGCTGTGCTCTCCTCCATGGCTCCAAAGCTTCCCCCCCTACCCTGCCCAGCCCCCGTCCCTGCCCGTGAAGGGGCTTCCTAGTATGTGGAAACTTTTCCTCCTTCACAGCTCCCTTCCAGACGTGCAGGTCCCTTCCCTATTCTTTTGTCTCTGTTTTTTTTTTCTTTTGTCCTACCCAGGTAGAGAGTTCCTTGCCTTTTGGGAAGTCTGAGGTCTTCTGCCAGCATTCAGTAGGTGTTCTGTAGGAGATGTTCCACATGTAGATGTATTTTTGATGTGTTTGTGGGGAGGAAGGTGATCTCCACGTCTTACTCCTCTGCCATGTTGAAGGTCTCCTCTAATTTCTTGTCTTTTTGATAATAGTCATTCTAAGTCTTCACACTTCTAGGTGTGAAGTGATGTCTCATTGTGGTTTTGATTTGCATTTCCCTGGTGATTAGTGATGCTGAGCACCTCTTCATGTGCCTGTTTGCCATCTGTATGTCTTCTTTGGAAAAATGTCTATTCAGAATCTCTGCCCATTTTTTAATCAGATTGCTTGGGGCTTTTTTTGCTATTGAGTTGTAGAAGGTCTTTATATATTTTGGATATTAGCCCCTTATCAGGTATATGATTTGCAAATATGTTCTTCCATTTGGTACATTGTCTTTTCACTTTGTTGATGGTTTTTAAGGTTTGATGTAGTCTCAATTATTTATTTTTGCTTTTGCTGCCTTCGCTTTCACTGTCAAATCAAAAAAATCATCACCAAGACTGACATCAAGGCACTTATTATCCATGTTTTCTTCTAGTTTTGTGGTTCCAGGTCTTACATTACGTCTTTATCCATTTTGTGTATGGTATAAGACAGTGGTCCAGTTTCATTCATTTTGCATGTTTCTGTCTAGCTTTCCCAACACCATTTATTGAAGAGACTATCTTTTCTATACTGTATATTCCTGGTTCTTTCATAATAAATTAACTGACCATATATGCAGGGGTTTATTTCTGGGCTCTCTATCCTGTTATATTGATCTATGTGTCTGTTGTCATGCCAGTACAATACTGTTTTGATTACTATAGCTTTGTAATATAGTTTGAAATCAGGAAGCATGATGCCTCCAGCTTTGTTCTTCTTTCTTAAGATTGTTTTGTCTACTTGTCTTTGGTGGTTCCATACAAATTTTAGGATTGTTTGTTCCATTTCTGTGAAAAGTGCCATTGGAATATTGATAGAGATTGCATTGAATCTGTAGATTGCTTTGGATTGTATGGGTATTTTAACAATATTAATTCTTCCAGTCAATGAGCAAAGATTATCTTTCCATTTATTTGTGTCTTATTCATTTTCTTTCATGATTTATTATAGTTTTCAACATCCAGGACTTTCATCTCTGGTTAATTTTTTTCTAAGTATTTTTTTTTGGTGCAGTTGTAAATGGGATTGTTTTCTTAATTTCTCTTTCTGATAGTTCATTATTAGTGTATAGAAATGCACATGATTTTGTATACTGATTTTAGAGAAAGAGTTTTACTTTACAGTAAAGAAACGTGGAACATAGCACCTTAATTAAGTGATCAAGTTAAATATTAGTGATGTCATGTGGATCTTATTGCAGCCCCTAATATGATGAGATGAGGGGGCACATCATCTATGTGGTGTTCTCTGTAGAAACCCATAGCCCAGTCTATCATGAGGAAACACCAACCGATCCCAAGTTGAGGCATGTCCTACAAAATACCTGACCAGTAATCTTCAGAATTGTCAGTGTCTCGAAAAACAAGAAAAGACTGAAAACCTGTCATAGATTGGAGGAGACTAAGGAGACAGAAAACCTAAATGCAATATGATATCCTAGATTTGATCCTGAAACAGAAAAGACATTAACTTAAAATTTAGTATAATTCAACTAAAGTGTGCAGTTTAGTTAGTATGATTGTACCAATGGTAATACCTTAGTTTTGACAAATGTACCATGTTATATAAGGTTCCATCATTAAGTAAGGTCTTCCATTAGGTGAAGCAAGGGGAAGGGAATATGGAAATCCTCTGTACTATCTTTGCAAATTTAAAAATTATCCCCAAATAAAGTTCATTTTTAAAGAATAAAAAATAAATTCCATTGGTATAAAAAATTTAAAACATGAGACATTAAAATTAAAGATTGACTTTATGAAATGAAATATTAAGACTGTATAAGTAGAGAAAGTTTGGAATTACTAGGAATTAAGAATTTTTAAAGGTTAATGTGTATATATAAATATTTACATATGTAGATAATATATATGTATATTTATATACTACATATAAATGAAAGATTAGAGGAAATAGCAGATGAAGTATTTTAAAATTTAAATATTTTAAATATCTAGAGATGAGAGAGAATTGAATGAATAAAATAATTAAAGAACCACTCAAAAGTAAAATCCATCAACTAATATTATTTGAAAAAAACTTTAAAAACCTTCAGTGGTTTTTGAATATCTGCAAACAAAGCAACCAACAAAGGATTGATCTCCAAAATATACAAACACCTCATGCCGCTCAATATCAAAAAGCCAAAACACCCAATCAAAAAATGGGCAGAAGATTTAAATAGACATTTCTCCAAAGAAGATATACAGATGGCCAAAAAGCTCATGAAAAGATGCTCAACATCACTAGTTATTACAGAAATGCAAATCAAAACTACAATGAGGTATCATCTCACACTGGTCAGAATGGCCATCATCAAAAAGTCTACAAACAATAAATGCTGGAGAGGGTGTGGAGAAAAGGGAACCATCCTACACTGTTGGTGGGAATGTAAATTTGTACAACCACTGTGGATAACAGTATGGAGCTTCCTTAAAAAAACTAAAAATAAAGCTACCATATGATCCAGCAATCCCACTCCTGGGCATATATCCAGAGAAAACCATAATTTGAAAAGATACATGCACCCCAGTGTTCACCATAATTTGAAAAGATACATGCACCCCAGTGTTCACTGCAGCACTATTTACAATAGCCAGGACATGGAAGTCAACTAAATGTCCATCGACAGAGAAATGGATAAAGAAGATGCGGTACATATATACAGTGGAATGCTACTCAGCCATAAAAGAATGAAATAAAGCCATTTGCAGCAACATGGATAGACTGGAGATTATCATACTAAGTGAGCGAAGACAGAGAAAGACAAATATGTTATGTTGTCACTTATATGTGGAACCTAAAAAAATGATACAAATGAACGTATTTGCAAAACAGAAATGACTTAACAGATATCGAAAACAAACTTACGGTTACCAAAGGGGAAAGGTGGGGAGGGAGTGATAAATTAGGAGTTTGGGATTAACATACATACTACTACATATAAAATATATAATCAACAAGGACCTACTGTATAGCACAGGGAAGTCTACTCAATATTCTGTAATAACCTATATGGGAAAAGAATCTGAAAAATAATGGATATATTTATATCCATTTTATATATATATATATATATATATATATAAAAAACTGAATCACTTCGCTGTACACCTGAAACTAACACAACATTAAATCAACTATACTCCAACATAAAATAAAAATTAAATTAAAAAAAATCTAGAGATGAGAGAGAATTGAATGAACAGCAAAAAATTAAAGAACCAACCAAAAGTAAAATCCATCAACTAAAATTATTTGAAGAAAACTTCAAAAACCTTCAATGGCTTTTCATATTCTACAGAATAAGGCACACATACATCATTAACATCATGAAATTCTGAATCACTTTTTAATTAGAAATTACAGGAAGATCATTCTTCTGTTTGAAATAGAGTCATATTAGTTGCTCTTAATGCAACTATCCCAAATTCTTACCCAAAAGATAAAAAATTAAGTAAGGTAAACTAAGATCAGGAATCAACATTTTGACAAAAAAAAAAGCAAGGATTATGTGTAAAGCAAATGAAACAGATTTTAAACATCTAACTTTGGACCATTTTATTGGGCTTGTGAGGCAGCTCATTAAATGTAAGGTCTTAATCCATCTCCCCAGTCTGTTCTTGGATCAGCAAACAGAAAATGAGATTCTGGTTTTTTTTCTCTGGGAGGGCTGCTTTTGAAGTTGCCTCCTCTCTATCCCACGACTTTTCTCTTTATTCACCTTACCAAGTGTTAGAACTTCAGAAATCAATTCATGGTAAGTATCAGCTCCAGCAGAGGCAACTTAGGAGGGGATGGTGATGGATGAGTAGCGTAGGAAGTAGTTGCAGTGGTGGAACATTGAATTCTGGGAACTATAGCTCCTCCAAGGCAAGCATCCTCAGGGGAGGTAGGGGAAGAGTTAGAGAATAAGAGATCTGTTAGCAATTCTATTAATATTAGATTCCGAGATTGTAATTCTTTCATATATTCATCTGCTCAAAACTTCAGAAAGAGATGAAGTAGAAGTAGAAGATAATTCCAAAGATATGCATTATCTAGACTGTTCTGGAATATATCAACTTTTGGTTCAGTTCTCAGTATGGAAAGAATAATAATACAGAAACCAATTCAATTTAAAAATGGGCCTAAGGCAATACATAGAAGCTTATCTGTTTGAAAACACTTGACAATGGAAAAACAGGGAGAAAAAATATATGAGGTCTATCAAATATACTGTAAATAAAGAGAAATAAGCATCTTTGAGTTCCCCAAGAGTACACTTCTGAGATTAACCACCTATTTTCAACACAAGAAATTCTTAGAAAATGTGTACTCTAAAAGCCAAACACATAAAAAGAGGTTTAGAATAATAAAAAAGCAGAAGGAGATTCTTTTTAAAATTTTATAGTAGATGTCTGCTGTTTTGCTTCCTCAGTGTCACTTTCCTTTTTCTGTGATAAAAAAAGGCCATTTTTGTATCTGGAAATGCTCTTCTGTGAATCACATGCTGGCTTCCATGCCTTCTGAACCGAGACTGAGTCATCTAGGTGTCCCCATAACCTTGAGATGCACTGATGGGTCCAGGGGTGGCCATGTCCAGAGCAAAAGTCCTTTTTTCAGGCACAAGTAGAATCCTGGAGAGAAGGAATCTCTCTCTCTCTGAGATCATGGGTTGCCAGGAATCACATGAGCCAGGCAGTGCTTATGCACTCATAATTTATCTCACAATCTGAGATTTAGGCATGTAAGCTACAGTTCACAGATGAGATGAGGACTCAGAGAGACTAAGAGACTCTTCAAGTTCAATCAGGAATTTAGCAGAACCTTGGGAGCTTTCAGAAGATAATAACTTTCGATTAGTAATTAAATGACACAAGATTCTTTTTGTTTTTTGATTGAAGTATAGTTGACTTACAATATCATATTAATTTCAGGTGTACAACCTAATGATTCCATATTTTTATAGATCACACTCTATATTAACAAAATTCTTTATTTTTACTCTCTTAACTGATAGCTCAACTTTTTTTTGCGGTACGCGGGCCTCTCACTGCTGTGGCCTCTCCCGCCGCGGACCACAGGCTCTGGACGCACAGGCTCAGCGGCCATGGCTCACGGGCCCAGCAGCTCCGCAGCACGTGGGATCCCCCCGGACCGGGGCACGAACCCGCGTCCCCTGCATCGGCAGGCGGACTGGACTCCCAACCACTACGCCACCAGGGAAGCCCGATAGCTCAACTTTTGAAGATCGTATGCTTCTTAACACTTTATCATAGAAAAAATAAAGGGTCAACTATTCCCCAGTCATTCAGTCTTTCTCAGACTCACTTTTCTAGAGTCTAGAAAAAGACTCATGAGAAGAGAATAAAATAATTCCCAACTATCATGTACCATTTTGAGTAAGCGCAAGAATGCGTATGCCTTAGATTTAAATAGTGCCTCTGTATCAACCACATTGTCTCACACTTTCCAAAGGAAAACAGATGTCTTCATTTCAAGCCCATCAGAGATGGTACTTGCAGTATTGTTACTACTGCCATGCACTCTGTCACAGCATATGTCAGTGGCAGAGCAGTTACCTAAGCAACACCTGCCCTTGAATGTGAGCAACAATATTGGAAAAATCCCTCTACTGCTTTTGCCTTGATTTATTCCACTGACTTATTCTGTGTTCACTCTCCAGGCTGGGATGATATGTGAAAATGTGGCATTGACTCCAATTTATGCAATCCGTGTCAGTGGTATGCCAGCCCCCAAATAAGACGAGAATTCAGATTCTCTGTCCAGGCCAATAGTATTAGCCATAAAAACAAAGTTGTCTCCAGCAGCCCACCTGTCATTAAAATGTATGTGACAGACTCGTACTGATTTGCCATCTGTCAATGAATCATTTGGCAGGAAATTTTCTCCAATGTTATAATGTAATTTTCACATACACCAACAACACCCAGGGTCTAAGCAAAACAAAGATCTGTATTAAGAACTAATACGTGCCAGAAATATTCACTAAAAATACTCTATTGGATTTAGTCTTGCCAGATATCTTATATATCTTTTCCCTTTGCAAATGAGAAACTATTCAGAGAGATTAATAAATTGACCAAGGTCACCAACTAGCAAGGGACAGAGGCGGGAATCAAACCGAAGCCTTATAAACCCAGGGCAAACCTCTCTCTGTATTAGAACTACTTCTTAGAGGTTTATGATGTATGTCCTAACTCATCTTTGTTGTTGTTATTAATGTACAAAAGATGTTTAAAAAAATATGCAGGTTCTATAGGACTACAAAATTTACAGGCTCTCCAAACATGTTAGACCTTAGAGCTCATCCTTTTCACCTCCAAATCACTGCAGTAAGCTCTTCCACGATGGCCTGACTGGTGGTTGCCCAATCTCTGAACACTCCTGGGGGCACAGTGACAAAGAACACACTGAGTTACAAAATAGGTCATTCAATGTTTGGAAATTCCCAAACATAGGAAAGTTTTTAAATCTACATTGAGCAAAAATTTCCCTGTATTAGATGTCTATCTTTCATAGTCTCAAGACATAAGTACTCACTGAATAAAGTGAGTACTTACTTCACATAATGATCCTTTCAAAATCAAAAGACAGTGCTAATTCCTCTGAAAGTCTGCCTCTGGGTAGGATTAATGCTGCATCTTTAAATGGTTCCCCCACGACATGGTTTCCAGTCCCTGCTTCTCTGGCATCCATGAAAGAGAATAATATGTCAGCTATGGACTGACTAACATTGTTAAAAGGGTAAGGGGGGAAATGTCTCACAAATTGCTCTAGGCACTATATTTATGTTTACATAGGCTAACATTAAATCTGTTGTTCTATATGTGAATTATGCCACATTGTTGACTCATAATGAGTTTGGGCTCATTTAAAACCCTTGACCTCATATAAATAGTTAACAAGTCAGAGCAGTGCATGACAGTTAATATTTAAATTAAGATTTAGGAGTTAATTGCCTATATATTGTTAGTTTCAGGACTAACTGAGCATTTTTTAAAGATTATAATTCTTTAAAATCATAATCCTTAATAATAACTAAGAGACATCTTTTAATGTGTCTACAATTTTTCATGCAAGTCTTATCGAATGAACACTCACAACCGCTCTATGAATTAGATATTATTATTCCCTTTTTACGTATAAGGGAAGCTAGAGTCAGATTAAGTTCTCACAAAACAGGGACATGTTGCAATGAGATTTAAACCCAAGTGTGTCTGATTCTAAAGTCTTTGTTCTTCCTAGTATTGTACAGTCCTTCTACAGCTTTATGTCACTCCACAAATGTGACACATTTGTCTTCTATAACTTTATTCATTAAAGATAAAAGAGTAAAATAACAAAATCAGAATAATATGCAAGTAAAGACTCCCTACAAGGCTTAAAAAATGTAGAAATCAAAATCTTCACAGGATAGAGAATTGAAGCATCTATGAATCCACTTAGCATTATTATTTCATCCAGCTTTATCTTTCTTATTTGCAAGGGTATCACAATAGTCTTGGCCAAATGCTTTAAAGACTCTCAATTCTCTCTACTTATTTTGTAGCTCTATGAAATCATTAACTTTATTAAAAGAGTAAATGTCAGCAGGTGTTATTCTGATTTAATAAATTCATGTTGTAGTCCAATTATTATTTACTTCCATTTAAAAATATTTAGAAACATGTATTTAATAACCTGCTTTAAAATTTTGCCATTTCAAAATTAAGTACATTGTTTTATATTTCCAGAATGCAATTCTTTCCTTCTCTTCTTCCTTCCTTCCTTCCTTCCACACATAAAAATCACATTAGATAACTTCTGTATACTAGGCAATATGCTTGCTGCAGAAAAAATATACACACAAACAAATCAGAGTTTATCAGGTTAGTGTAAGAGAGACATGTTAACAAGTAAGTATAGCAAGTTAGCTTACACTGCAATAAAAATATGTACAAAGTGTTATGGAAATACAAGAGAAGAAATGCATAATCCAGTATGCAGAACATGAAATTTATATTTAAGCAAGTCTTCGAAAATAAGGAAATGCTCTCCAGGTGGACACACCAGAGGAAGGACAACTCAGACAGAGACAACAACAAAAGCAAAATAACAGAAGCAAATATCAGTGGGCTGTCAGCTGAAGATAAGACATGACAGTAAGTGACATATTTTGAAGGATTTTGTAACCCATGTTAAATATCTGGTACTTTATCATAGGTCATAAGAAGCCATTGAAAGATTTTAATGAGATCCTATTTATCTTCTAGAAAGATAACTCTGGTAGCCACGTGGAGGACAGATTGGAAGGAGACGAATATAGCGTTAAGAGGACCAATTAGAAGGGTACTGTACTTGATCAGGTGAGAAGAAATGAAACTCTAATTTAAGAAACTGGCAGAGAGACTCATGAACTATTGTGCCATGGGTGTTATGGTTAAGAACATGGGCCCAGGAGCCAAACGTTCACTTACTAGCCACACAATCTTGGGTAAACTATTTAACGTTTTTCTGTCTCACTGTGCTCAGAAAATGAAGTTAATAGTGATCAAGTATATTAAGCAGGATAGTCCTCAAGAGATCTTAACTATTTACATTATTAATATTATTAAGAAGAAGGATCAATTTTGAGGCTCAGATGCAAGATAATGAATTCCCAGACTGAATTTGAAATTTACAGAATATTCACTGGAGCTCCCTAGAAGGCTGGAGACATTTGAGTCTCAGGAAAGTACACAGTTATATCTCTATGGCTCTCAAAACCATCACGATAGAAGAGATAATCCAGTAAAGATTAGGAGGAGGACAAGGTTAAGCTTGGCACTTGGAGGAACACTATCACTCAGAGGCAGATGCAAGAAGAGGAACTTGCACAGGAGGCTTAAACAGAGGAGAGGGAAAAGAAACTGGAAAGAACACTCCGTAACTCTAAGGGAGTAAAAAGGTTGAAGAACAGAGAATGGCTCAACACGACCAAAGGTGAGAAAAAGGACAGATAAAATGAACACAGTCAGGGATGTTGTTGGTAGAATAATGTTGACAGAATGTATTGTGTTAAGGAATCAGTGGGATGAAGGAACTGAAGAAAATGGACATCGGTGATGCTTTTAGGAAGCACGGCTATGAACGAGTAGTGGCTGGAGGGAGAGTACTTTTACAACAGAAAATGGGAAGAAGACAGTGAAGAAGTTAATGCCTTAGGAAAGAGAAGATGATTTTAAGTTGCATAAGAGATTAGAGGTATGAGGATCCAAGACACCGGGGCAGAGGATAACTCGATAGGAAGAAAGATACATGTTTTCACCAAGAAGGAAGGAAATGATATAAAGACAAATAAAATCGCAATTTGGTAATGTGGGCAGACCCTCTATTTTCTCCATGATGTAAAAGGTATAGTCACCTCCTGATAGTAAGACGAATAGGGACAATTTGCGGACCACGTGAAGGATTGTTATACATTAGGAATTGTCCGTGTAGGAAAAAGAAAGCAAATGGAATAGAAATCTATAAAAGGCTGCCATGTTGCACGGTGGACCAGATCGAGATTGGAAACCATAATTTTGTACACGTATCTGTACTGTTATGTCATTTTCTTTTTTTTCTTAAAGGAATTTCCCAGTCATGTCTTTTTTTTTGGCTGCATTGGGTCTTTGTTGCTGTGTGTGGGCTTTCTCTAGTTGCAGCGAGCAGGGCTACTCTTTGTTGCAGTGTGTGGACTTCTCATTGCAGTGGCTTCTCTTGTTGCGGAGCACCATGGGCTCTAGGGGCACAGGCTTCAGTAGTTGTGGCACGTGGGCTCAGCAGTTGTAGCTCGTGGGCTCAGTAATTG